GTCTGAGTATTGCTGAGCTCAATGTATTGCTCTTTCAGGAGAGGATTAGATAACATTGGGTGGTTTTAAATCTGTGCTGATAAAGTACTTTGGGCACCAGCTCTGGGGTAGTCTAAAGTTTATTACAGTCTTCCTCCTAAAGTTTGTGTCCTGAATACCTAAGTAAATGTCATTCTTTGTTCTTTGTCCTTYCTTTCTTCTTTCTTCCTGTATGTTCTCTTTTTACCCAGATCATGTGCTGTGGTTTTCAAATTCTGAGTTCTGGTTTATGTTGTATTTCTGACTTTACTGTGTGACCTTTGGGATGCTCTATGAAGGAGCCCACTGTCTGTGTCATTGTTCTTGTTGTAGATTTGATCTATAATCAACAGAGAGTCACACCCAGTAAGGATGACACTATTGTGTGGGGACTCTGGAGTGCTTTTTGGCCGTCAGAGAATGGTTGACAATTGAATTTTTGTTCCAAATGGACAAAAATGCTCTGATGTATGTAATGAGTTCTGTGATGTTTTCTCTGCTGAAGCAAGGAGGTGAACACCACAGACACAGAATTGCTGCTCCAGCTTTGTGTTCTGCCCTGGAACACAGGTGCCTGTGTTGCCAGAGGACTGTGGAACCCAAGTGTTTTCAGTCTAATGGTGTTCCTCAAGAGAGAACAGTGGCACCTATTCTGTTACAAGGGTATGGGCTTTCAATAATAAGAATGATGTCTTTTTTACTGATTTCTTTTCCTTGCAGAAAAGGGTTGTATGGATCATCTTTCTGAATTTTTTTCCTGGAAGAATGTATGTAATTCCATGAAATGGTCAATTCCTGCCTTTCTTTACTTTTTGGATAACTTGATTGTCTTCTATGTACTGTCCTACCTCCAGCCAGTAAGTATATTTATACTGAATAAAGTGACTTCCAGTGTCTTAGTGGGCAATACTGCTCTTAGGTTAATCTACCATGGTAACACTGGMAAGGCAAGATTGTAGTTGAGGCTGTCAGCTGTTTTAACACTGGCAGGTGAAAGAATAATCTGTTACCTGACCACCCATACCTTCCCATTCTGTTGTGCACTGCTCAGTGTTGTATAGCTTTCAATGGAGAAGGGTCTTTATATTTTTTCCACCCAAAGTGATGCAGAAACATGGTGAAGTGCTTAAGAAGTTGATGGGTTTTTGGTACTTTTCCTTCTTTGCCTTTTTCAACTCTGTAGTTCTCTTTCCATCCTTTTGTTTCTCTTGCTATTATTTGAGCTGCACTTTTCTGTGTGGGSTTTACTACTCCATGTATGTGGCATTAGGTGAGTAAATGTAACCTCACAAATGGAATAAATGTAACAGAAACTAAGGAGGGGAGGAGGAAAACTGACTTAATTTTTGCATTGTTTGTTAGCTATGTTTAGGTACAAAATTTAGTTAGTACTTTCTTCTAGCTACCTCTTCCTTTTGGATGAACCTGCATATCCTCAGGAAATTGTACAGGTTTTGTGCTTGCTTTTATTTTTGCATTATGATACTTTTTGCTTCAGAATCTATATTTGCATTAAGGGGGAAACAGATGGTTTATGTTTGCTATAAAATGCTGTGACTGCCCTTGTTGAACATTAACAATAAATGGTTTTCCGCCTTCTCTATCAGAATTTCTCTTTAAAATATTGTTCTCTTAGGTGTACATGTCAGGGTCAGACCAGTCCAGAGTCTGGAACAAACTCAGCTGGAAAAAGCAAATAAAATCAAGAGTCCAATATCTTAAAATAACATTCACAACTGCATGGCTCTGTAGTTTGTTGTATGGGGTTTTTTGTTGGTGGATTTTTTTTTTTTTTYTTTTGGCAGGTGTGTATTTTGGTTAGTGTAGGTTGGGTTTGTTTTTTTCTTTGCTTGTGGGTTGTTTTGGTTTGTTTTGGTTTTTAGTTTTAGGAAGGAAATTCAGCTATAATATTTGTAAAAGCAAAGCCTGATGCATAGGAGGTTACAWAAATGTTATTT